TCTGCCTTTACCGTATGCTGCGCCTCAGATGCACTCATTAACCTTTAATGGATGCTGTGATTAATATGTGGTGCCACCACTGTGCTTGGCCCATCTCACTCATGGGTGTAATGAAAACAAGCAAACTGGAAGTGCTGCACTGAGGTCACAGGAAGGAGAATAGAGGGTTCCTAGGGCCTCATTGATGGTGTTGCGGGGCCCCAGTCCCTAGAGCAAGACTTTTATGTTGCAGATAGAGAGAGAATAGCAAATGGGTAGTGCCAAGAGATAGCTTGTGATAGACCATGTACAGGGGGATCTCAGGCCTAAAAAGCCCCTATCGCTAGAGTACTGACCTGGTCTTCCTAATGTTCACAAGCACTATGTCACAATGAGATGGCTTATAGAAGCATGTGGGTCCCTAGCTTCTTACAGAAAAGCACACAAACAGTAAGGCTAGGTAAGTTTTGAAGGGAAATAAACCATGTAGGCAGCACTTACATCAAGAGGCAGAGCAGAAATCGAAGTCCAGAGGCTACCCATTCTCTATTCAGCCTGTCTCACACTTGCTTTGCAGGGTGCCACCATGCATGCCTCAAGCCTGATTTCAGGGTTCCTGTAAATGAGTATTTGCCAGTATGACCCATTTACCCATGTATGGCCTGTATGCAAGTTCCCTAAAGTCTGGCTACATGTTGCTTTTGAGAGAACAGATAATACTAGGTGCCCTGGGACCCTAAAAGTTATTTGAAATGACCCACTGAGTGCACTTACGGTCACAGTCAAGCAAATGTCATATAAGGGAAACAGGACCCTAAAATGACTTTGTGGTTTGCCCCTCCTAGTTCATGTTATGTATAAGATATTTTCATTCAATATAGACACCCAGGCGGATCACATGCCCTGCTTCTCAGCAGACATTGTCAAGGACATGGGAAAAGTGAAGGACATACTTTGGACTTGGGGGAAAAGGACTTGACTATGCATATATTATTTGATATAAATTCAGCGTTTATTCATCTCATGAAAACTTGGAACTCAGCTTCTATTGAAAATCATCATGTTTCAACTCTAATAGAAGGAAAGAAGTGAGTGAGCTGGGTGCTGGTGGCAGTGAGGAGCAGGGGTGTGGGTGGGAGGGTTGGGTGTGGCAGTGAGGAGCAGGGGTGTGGGTGGGAGAGTTGGGTGTGGCAGTGGGGAGCAGGGGTGTGGGTGGGAGGGTTGGGTGAGTACCAATAAAGACCAAGCAAGTCCCCTAAAGTGTCTGGCTACATATTGCTTTTGAGAGGACAGATAATACTAGGTGCCCTGGGACCCTAAAAGTTATTTGAAATGATCCACTGAGTGCACTTACTGTCGCAGTCAAGCAAGTGTCATATAAGGGAAACAGGACCCAAAAATGAAAGCCTCTAGACTTCAGGATGATCAAGGCGGAGGGCAGCTTCTCTGCTCACCCAGGAATGCCAAAAGGGACAGTGGGAACCTGAAACCTGGGAAGAGGAAATTCCAGAGAATGAAGCCAGGGGGTCTGAGACAACTTTTACATAAATTCAGACACAGTTGTGAAGGAAAGGGAACAGCCCTCAGAGCACCTCCCTGAGGGGCCTCCTCCCTGACTATTTCCTCTTCAAACCACAGATCACCTGTAACCAAACTTCCTGGAGTGGACTGATATGTTCCCAATGATCCCAGCAACCCAAGAATGGCCTGTGTAAGAGACTGAATTGTCTGCATCTCCCCAAAGGCTGGACACAAGTGAGGTGGATGGAGCAAAGGGATCTTAGTCTGCCTCTAGTGTACAGCACTGTGACCTGTGACCTGAAGCCAGCAGGGCATGGTCTGCAGAGGGGATGCTGCAGAGAGCTTCCACCCTCTGTCACCTGGCCCTCAGCAGGAGCTCCTGATCATCTGTGATGTGGCCTGACCCCTTCCCTATCTAGAGAAGCCTCAAGATATGTCTCCAGGATGCTTAAAAATCTGAAGGTAAAACACATAGGCTGTAAAGGAATAGTCAATAGCATATATCCAGGGAAAGCTACATGCATGGTCCTTTATTAATGTAGTAAATCATAGGACAGAGCAGGAACTTAATAAATGCCATAACTTAAAATGGGAGGGGAGGGGAATAAATGACGGGGGCAGGGCTGTTGGGGAGTGGGGGGAGAAGCATCAGCAAGCCTGGCAGCATGTTTCAGATGAGCTATGATTTTCTGCAACAAAGTTGCAGAGATCAGGAACACACCCATGCTTTCTTGTTTATAGCCCCACTTACAGAAAATGCCAAGTTTCAGTTGGATTTACTGGTGACAGAACCATGATCATCTCTTCCCCACTCAAGACCCTGACCCCCATAAACTCCATCTGCAGAGTCCTGGCAGATTTTTAACCCCTGGGAAGACCTCCAGGCTCTTTTTTTCAGTACAAATCTCAATTTTGTTTATCCATTTGGGGGCATAAATCAGATTCCCAGTCTGCCCTATGACACCAAAGACATTTCCCAGCAACACAGCCAGTGAGATCTGGAAGCACAAGGCAGAGATGCTGCACCCTACAAACAACCCAGACCTCAGTGAGACACAACAGCTGCAAGCTGTTGGAGCCAGAAATTGATGCTTGCCTCCCTCCTCCAGCACAGCATCCTTTCTTTGGGGATCATCTTCAGTGAGCCTTGCTGACTGTCCTCAGTCACCTCCCACCCTGAGCCTGCCTCCTTGGCTTCCTTGAAATCAAGTGCGCTGTCTTTGTTGGTTACTTTATCTGGGTCAGTGGCTGAATCAGAGCACAGTGGCCACCAAGACACCTTGAGCTCTCAGGCCATCGTTTTCACAACTATTGATTTCGCCTCTGTTGCCAAGTGCCCTGGCACCGGGGAATGAGGAGAAGAAATGTAGATGGGTGAGCATTATTTATCAACAGATATTCATGGGCAGACATCACTGAGCCTCTGGAGAACTGGCCCTAGACTTCAGAGACGCAGCCCCTACACCCACAGCTCTTGGAACAGAAGGCTGGGTGTCTTTGTTTGCCAGTGGTTTCTTATTGCACAAGTACCATTTTCTAAGTATTAGGAATGAGTAATGCAGGTGGCTACTATGAATGACCACCAGTGTTGGGAGCGAGCGCCGTAAAGGACATTAGAAGAGATGATATGGGACACAGTCATAAGGGTTGTTGTTTCATGGACCAGTAAGTAAAAATCCTCCCTCGGTTGATAAAAGGAAGAGATTGAAAGGCTGAGAAACCATCTGTATAGAAAATGAGTGGGGAGAAAGAAGAAGGAGGAAGGAGAGGAGAAGGGAGAAGAGGAGGAGGAAGAAGAGGAGAAAGAGGAAGAGGAGGAGGAGGAGAAGGAGAAGGAGAGGAAGAGGAAGAGGAAGAGGAAGAGGAAGAAGAAGAAGAAGAAGAAGAAGAAGAAGAAGAAGAAGAAGAAGAAGAAGAAGAATAAGAATCAAACTAGAGAGGCAAAGACTGCATAAAGGGTCACAAGGATGAGCCTTTTTGGAGAGAGAGGCCCCTGACAGAAGGGGGGGGGGGGGAAGGGTTGGCTGGAGGGGCTACTGGTTAGGAATCTTAAATCAGGCTACCTTAGGTCCAGTGGGGCTCAGAAACTAACTGTGTGGCCTTGGGCAAGTCACTTCCCTTCCCTAAACTTGTGTTTCCTAATTTGTAAGTTGAGCTATTCCCTTTTACCTTTGTTGGTCTGTTAAAAGCAAGAATATATGTAAAAGTCTTACCAGTGAGGCAGCATGGGGGTGACTAAGCCAAGACTGGCTTGCTGCCACTTATTGTAATGAGGTGTTTGGGGGGGTTTAAGTTGTGAAGAAATAGCCTGGCCGGCATGTCTTGGCAGATAATCAACATTGTGTGGGCTACTGAGGGTCAGTAGGACAGTCAGAAAGGAGCTGGAGGCTGTTTACACTAACTGCTCCCCAGTCAGGGGCAGGGCTGGAGGGCCACCGCTGAAAGGCAGCAGGATGCCATCTGTCCCTCAGGTGTCTCTCATCCACACCAGATGGGAGGAAAGGCAGTGAGCCACACCCTCAGCATGAGGGGAGCCCACTCCTCACTTGCAGACCGGTGCAGGCTGACCTCCCACACTCACCAGCTCCTGTTTACCAGTGACAATGTCACTTGCCTGGGATTCTAAGTGCCTCAAGGACAGCAGCCATTTCCCTTTACTCTCTAATGTGACCAATGAAACAGCTCTACTCTGGGACCTGGGGGGAGGGGGCGTCTGAATAATTAATTTACTAGGGAAAGGGGGACTAGCTCAGAGCAAGATGCTCACAGAAGACCCAAAGCAGTGAATCTGTAAGTTCCTGGGAGGTCCTTGATGCATGCCTGACCGATGGCCAGCCTTCCTCTGGCTCTCCAAGGAGCACAGTCTTCCACCTGAGAAGCTTTCTGGAGGTCACCAGATCATGGAGAAGGCCCTTCACCCAGACCTCCCCGACCCCGATGCCATTCCTGCCTGGGATGCACAGCCCGTAGCCCATTTCCAGCTCAAGCGGGGCCACAGATGAAGGGGATAAAAGCCCTCTGATCTCCAGAGACCCACGAGGATGCTGAGGCTCAGCTGCTAGGAGTGGGGGGTCTTGCAGGCTCCTCCTCACTGCTGCCTCTAGAGCCCCCCCCCCCCCCACTGCTCCTGCTGTCCAGCTGGGAGGAGGTGTCACCTCCTCTCTGATTATTTTTCAGTTATTTGTCCTACAGTCTCCCTCTTTCCTCTGGAAGACCCCACTACCCTTGTCCCCTATTTCTGCAGGCGTCCCCCAAGGGTATTCTAACCCTGCAGCTCCGCGATCCTTCCAAAGGCTCACAACCTCTCTTCCCTGCATACTGTCCCCACACTTCATTCCTTTCCCAGCCCTCTGAAGCCCTCATCTTCCCCTCCGCCCATTCTCCTTCGTGTCCTTCCCCCATTCCACGGGGCCACCACGACCCCTGCTGCAGGTCTGTTGTCCCTTCCCTGCCTGGCAAAACATAGGGTGGCCCGGCCATCTCACCTGGCCTTCACTCACCTGTTGGGCCGCCTGGAGCACACCGGGCCTCGCCTTCTCCGGGTCCGGCTCACGGTCCCGCGGCAGCAACCCCTTCTTGGGGTGCATGTGCCGGCACAAGCAAGTGACCCCACACAGCGCAAGGATGCTGGTGGCAGTGCCTAGCGTGGCGCCCAGCGCGATCACAGGCACCGACAGCACCATGGTGCCTGCTTCCCGTGGCTCGCCCGCCTCGCGCCGGCCTCCTGCACCTCGCGCTCCCGCCTGGCTCCAGCCGCTCTCTAGACTCCGAGGGCGGGGACGCAGCCAGCTGGGAGGGAGGATGGCTGTAAGGACGTCAGAGGCGGAGGCTGACCCAGAGGCACGTCAACCGCTACCCCCTCCTCGCCACCATGTGACTCGCCCCGTATTGCTAGGAGGGCAGGAGCAGGTAAGTGATAGCCTTAGGTTTGTGTGTTTCATGTACACAAACACACACATGTATACATAAGCACACACACACACACACACACACACACACACACAGGCAGGTGATAGCCTCAGGGTTGTGTGGGGTCATTCCTAGTATGTTCTCTCTCTCTCTCTCTCTCTCTCTCTCTCTCTCTCTCTCTCTCTCTCGATAATCTCTAGTAGAATTCACATGTATGTACACACAGACATGCAGATGCACACACACATGTATGGACACACATACATTGGCATGTGATAACCTCAGGATTGTATGAAGCAATTCCTAGCATTCTGTGTATACACACAGACACACACACATATGCACATATTCACAAACACACACACACACACACACACACACACACGGATAATTTTAGTGTTGTCTGGAATCATTCTTAATGCTCTGTCACATGCGTGTACACACAGGCAGTTGGACCTAGGAGGGACTGGAGCTTACTAAAGTCACAGGGTCAACCAACCAGGGCTTCAACCCAAACCTGGAACTCACTCTGGGTAGCTGGTCACCTCATCGGATTAGTAACCCTTTGCTTGCCACACCACCTTTCCCCCTTCCCCAGAGCTGCTAAGGAGGCTGTTAACCGGACATCCCAAGCGCTCCAAGCTTTGCAAACACTCAAACAGGACTAGAGCTGTCTCGTTTTCTAGGCTCGCAGTGACTTCCCACCAAGGACAGACAAAGACAGAGACTGGGAGAGGGAATGTGGGGGTTGGGGGGGGGTGGACAAGGAGAGAGATGGGGGAGCCTGGGGTATGTCAGGAGCTGGCTGATGCAACGTGTCTTCTGGCATGGTGTCATGTGTTCTGATAGTTATCTATGGGCTGCATTTCCAGCTCACACTTATTACCTGATGTGACCAGCAGAGACCTTACATTCTACATAGCTGAGGAGGATGACGCTCAGAAAGGAGACAAGGCCACTGGAAGCATTGCCACCAGCCTGAGGCCACACACAGTGCTTGCAGATGCCAAGTCCTCTCTTCCAAGGGCCAACGACATCAGAGGTTGTCGCTGGGGCACAGGGCTCAAAACGTGGAGAATACATTTGCTTGTGGGAGAGGAAAAACGGGAAATTGTCCAGGAGGGTGACTGTCTTAGCTCTAGGAAACTAAGCTGTTTGATGGTCTTCATTATGAGGAAGGTTTGCTTCATTGAGGACTAGATGTTGTTTGTGGGCTTTCGGTGCGCTGGGCACTTCTGAGAAGGGGCTCGGCAGAATTTAATCCATGGCTTCCAGGCAGCTGATGACTCTGGAGTTGGAGATGTCCAGCAGCTCTTGTCTGTCTCCCCTCAGGTGTGATCATTGTCGGGGTCCCCCTTTTCCTCTCTCTAATTTATCACTTACCCACTGCACAGAGCCTCACCCAGGACTCCGTGGCTTAGAACAGTTGTTTTTCTATGCAGCGTGATTCTGTAGGTTGTCTGGGCTCAGCTAGGTGGTTTCTGCTCAGCAGTCTTCTGGGACCGAAGTTATCTAGGGGTCCAGCTGGTCTGGGCTGTGCAGTGGAGCACTCAGTGGCAGCAGCTGGTGCTGGGCCACCACAGGAAACAATCTGAAACCTCAGCAGGCACCCTTGGTCCTCTTTTGCATGGCCTCTCCCTGTAGCCCGAGCATCTCTCAACATGGCAGCCAGCTTCGAAGAGGAAGAAAGCCCCGACTGCCAGTTTCCTAAGGGATGGGTACAGGAGAAAAATCATTTCTTTGCTCAAAGTAGTTAGCTTGTTTTTCTAACCTCTTCAACATCTACCAGAATGGATGTTTCTGAAGCCTGCATCGGACCCTGTCACATACATAACCTCTCAAAAGTTCTCCATGGTTAGACCCCAGGAGCAACTTAGATCCAAACAGTTTGCCACATGGTTGGTCCTGCTTCTCTTCAGTCATCCCTAGTGGGTTGAAGATTCATTCATTTATTCAAAAGTTAGAGTCTCCATGTTACACATGACTGCACACAGCAGGCACTCAATAATTGTTAAGTAACCCACGTGATCATCTCCCTAGGGGTTCTGGCAGCTTGCAGGGAGTTCCATTTTTGATATCAACTCCATTTTATTGCATTGACTTTCCACAGTGATTACTTGTGAGCCTGCTGTACACCAGGAATATTTTCCTATTAAGCTCCATCTGTTTACAACTGTGAACTGTACTTCTTAAACTCTCACCCCACCCCCATCTCCTGTGTTTTATTTAGCAGCCTCTCTCATCAGAACTGCCCTGGGAGGTTTGGCTCCTGAGCTTGGCAATGCAAAACATTCTGGGGAGAGGCTTAATTAATGCACTTGGCTGTGGGTCTCTTAGGCCTGAGCTGCTCCCCTGGGAGACTCTTAATGCCACCAGTCAGAATAGAATCTAAGGGAGGCATGGGTGGAAGGGGGAAGAGCACTTAACACAAGAAAATGTCTGATGGACATCAGACACCTGCCATGTGGTCCATTGTTGCTATGGTTACTGGAATGCTAGCAGCTACAGTGACCCCCAGCCTAGGAAGAAGAGCTTACCTCTCATCTCTTTCATATACAATGAACCTATTAGAGAGCCAAGAGTGCAGCCCAAGACAGATGAACCCCAGGGGTTGTTAGGATGCTAAGATACCTTTGCTATCCAACCAGACAGTCTCACACACACCATCAAAGGGCTAACTTACACTTCCTGTGACTGATATCTGAGAAGTGGCCTTTAATGAAAAGGCATGGCTGGGTTTCTTTGACAAATGAAATCATGTGGTCTGATAAAAGTGGTTGACAGAGTCATCCTGAAAGAATGGATGAGACAGTGAAGAAGAGGCTGGTGGATAATTGGAAATATTCTGGCTGCCAGGCTGCCAAGGTCAGACAAGAGCAAGATTGGGGGGTGCATCTCAAGCAGAAGGAGGTTCTCCAAGGTCTGATCCCCAGCCTCTGGATGAAATGCCTTCATTGTTATTTTGATATATGCTTGGATGTTTAAACAGTGGGAGGAGTCACTCCTAGTCTCTAAGATCCAGAAAGACTTTCATCCTGGAGAAAAAAAAAATTCAAATCCAGTCCCATGACTGCTCACCATGGGGTAGCTTCTGAGAACTCTTCAAGCCACAGTCTCATCATAGGATGCAATTACACACGACCAGAACACACAGATCAGCCAACCCCCAGCCCCAGGCCCTGTATGCAATTAAGGGAAACCATGACAGAGGCTACACAGAGGCTGCAGCCAGCATCACTGTCTTACAGTAGTCATTGTTACAAGGAATGCATTAGAAAATGCTGACAACAGTAAGTGCAGTAAATACATGAACCAGTAACAGTGGTTTGTTGCCATGACCACAACTCTATGTCATGAACACAACTCTATGCACCATGCTTTCCTATAACGGGTGGTATAGTATGTCTGTTCTCACAAGGCTCTCTAAGGCCTGTCTTTAGACAAGGTCTTTAGACAGGGGCCTGGCCATAGACAAGTGAGGACAGCATCATGGCAATCCCAGGTCAGCCCTATTCTCATCTTATGGGGCCAATATCAAGTGTGCTGCCTCTCATTGACCGTGGACAGTATCCCTGAAATAAAGCACATGACAGTGTAGAGAGTCAAATATGAGTGACCATGACCATGGCCCAGGAACATGGATTCAAGTTGCCCTCAAAATGTGATAACTATTTCATGATATTTTTTTAATCCTAACAGAACAAAATAAAGTCAAAATTCACTTAAAGTACCTCGGTGGAACCAGCAGCTTTGTAGTGTGGTGGTTTGAATGAGAAATGGCTTCCATGGGCTTGCATATTCAAACATTTAGTCCCCAAGGTGGGGTCTTAACAAAGGAAGTACTACACTGAGGCTGGCTTTGGGGTTTTAGAGCCTTGCCTCACTTCCCGTTTTGATCTTTCTGCTTCCGGTATGTGGATGAAATGTGACCGTCCAGTTTCTCTTGCTGCTATGCCATGCCACACTATGCCTTCCCTGCCATTATGGACTCTAACTCACTAAAACCCATAAGCTAAAATAAAGTCTTCCTTAAGTGGCTTTTGATTATGGTATTTTATCCTAGCAACAGAAAAGTAACTCATACCACACTCTTTGGCATGGGCCCCGGACGCCATCTGATGGTGTGCTCAGCTTTTGAGTTGCTGGAAGCTTGTTGGAAGATTGTTGGTATATCCCAGTTTTACCAGACAGTCCCAGGATGTCAGGTCAGACAGTAGTGGGCAGCAAGGATGACTGTTAGGAAAGATAAAAATCGCTCAAGATAATTGCTTCTGGACCTGCGACGTGCCAGGTCTCAACAGTGCCCCGTGTCCCATTTGTGTGTAGAGGCCAAATATTAGTGGTGTTTTTTGTTTGTTTGTTTGTTTGTTTGTTTCATGGCGCTAAAGAGGCTTGTTTCTAGTATTTGCTAAAGCTGAAGCTGGAGTGACAGGAAGACAGTCAAAGAGAGACAGGGGGTGGGTAATGTGTAAAGAATTCCTGGACCACATCAAATTTTAACAGCCATTATGACTCAGATCTGGTATTTCTTCCTTTCTTCCTTCCCCATCTTCCCCCTGTCCACCCTCCCCTCCTGTCCATCCTTCCCTCCCCTCCTGTCCATCCTTCCCTCCTCTGTAACTGACAAAATATTTACATGTGATATATACTCATATTGCAAGTATTATACCCACAGAGAAAACAATCAAGAACACAGTATGGGCTGATGATATAAAGGCAGAAGATGAGGCAAACAGGCCTTTTAAACAACCAAAAGCCATATTTTAAACCAGATTAATCACATTTCCCTTGTATCTACAGCACCTTGTACTTAAAAAAAAACAATTATTTAATGTTTAGACTACTCAAAACAAT